GCCACCAACGCCCGGCTTGGCGCACGCTTTTAATCCCAGCACTCGGGAGGCAGAGCCAGGCAGATCTCTGTGAGTTCGAGGTCAGCCTGGTGTACAGAGCAAGATCCAGGACAGGCTCCAAAGCTACACAGAGAAACTCTATTTCGAAAGATCAGAAAAAGAAAAAAAGAAAGATCATCAGCTAGGCAGTGGTGGTGCACACCAATACCAGGGAGGAGAGGAGGCAGGCAGATCTCCAATTTTAAGGCCAGCTCGGTCTACAGAGCAAGTTCCAGGACAGCCATGGCTACACAGAGAAACCCTGTTTCAAAAAATGGAGAGAAAAAAAACAGCCTCTCAGATATGACAAAATGCTTACTTCCCCATCTTTTCCTACATTCTTACTTTTCTAAGACTGTTGTGTTCAGATACAAAAGAGTTTTCCATTTTAACTTTTCCTCTATTCCGAGCTGAGCTCCTTGCTTCTTAAGACTTTTTCTATTTTCTCTCTCAAAACCAGGACTCCATTGCTTTCTCTTGTACTATTTACTTGTTCTTTCTGAGCCGCAGCATTAACTATAAAGAAAGCTCTCTACATTTAACAAGCGACAAAAGCTTTTCACAAGACTGTTCCTGAAGATCTCACCAAACGGAGCGCGGATCATGTTTTCCTGCACACAATTATGTAGTTAGGAAGGGTGGTGGAGATGTAAAAGCCTGCAATTATTGCCCGCGTCTCCACGGAGCCAGAAATGAGGTAAGATATTCATGTCTGAGCTCTTTCCAGAACTCCCAAATGGGTCAATTTGAAAACAGGCAGAGGAAATGATCGTTTCCTTTTAGGAAGGTAAGAACGAAGTAGTCAAAGCTTCGTGCTTATTAATATTTATGGCGCCTTATTAAATCAGATTTGTCATTTGGTCAAGTGTTGTGTCAATAAACCATCTTGGAAATGAGGGACGGAGACTGAACCGCGGTAGGGGGTGGGGAGAGGGTTAAAAACGCTGCTCTTCCGGAGACCCAAGCCGAGCTCCCAGCACCCACATCCGGCAGCTCACAACCGCCTGTCACTCCGGGGACTCAGCATTCTCCTCCGGCCTCTGCAGGCACCGCACACATGTGGTGCAGACCAATAAAGGCAAAAATAAATCTAAAACAAGACACATGTGGGGCCCCAAAAAGGGCAAAGAGGTTAAAGGCGCTTGCCGCCAAGTATGACGAACCAAGTCCAATCCCCAATACCCCACCTAGTGGAGAGAACCAAGCCCTCCACGTTGTCCTCTGGCCTCCCTAACCACCCCTGCTGCCACCCCCCACCCCACAAATGTTTATTTTTATTTTCAAAGAACATAAGCTTGACTGCTGATACTAAAGAGCCCTCTGGGTTTCCACCTATTCACACCCCCAGGCAGCCCTAAATGTCGCATGCTCCAGGCTTGGCCATGTCATTAACTGTTATCTAATGGGACATCAGTAAATGTGACTCGGCCAAGGTTGGTGTCCCATTGTTTCCAAAGGTTTATCTTTCCCTCCAGACTTTAAACGGCCCTCCCCACTGTTCCTAGACTCCTCACCCCTCTCAGAATTGAGATGCATGGAATCAATAAGAAAATACAACAAATGCTTGAAGTTCTAGAAGGGTCTGTGAAACTGCCAGACATGGACAATCATAATGACACCTAACTGCCAAGTGTGCGGTACCGTCAATGCTCCTCAGAAGCCGGTCACCACTTTGTGGGCTTGTGAGAACAGACAACATGATCTACAACTTCAGCTTACAGGGCCGGAGAAAGGGCTCCGCAGTTAAGAGCACAAGCTGCCCGCCCTTGCAGAGGACCCAGGTTCACTTCCCGCCCCTACATGGCGGCTCACAAGGCCTATCCTGAGAAACGTGATGCCCTCTTCTGGCCTATGTGAGGAATTGCATTCATATGCACAAACTCACAGTCACACATAATTAAAAACAAATTTTAAATCTTTAAAAAGGAAAATTCTCCAGCCGGTGGTGATGCATAACTTTAATCCCAGCACTCAGGAGGCAGAGGCAGGTGGACCTCTGTGAGTTCGAGGCCAGCCTGGGCTACAGAGTTACTTCCAGGACAGCCAGGGCTACACAGAGAAACCCTGTCTTGAAAAACCAAAACCCAAAAACCAAAACAAACAAACAAACAAAACACAAAAAAGGGAAAAAAATGTATTACAATCCTTAAGTTTTTTGTTTTTTCTTTTTCTTCCAGGAGATAGGCTCGGGCTTGCTATAAGATTGGAATTTTTTTTTTTTTTTTTTTTTTTTTTTTTTTTTTT